CTAACATGCACATACCTACAGGCAGACATACACATATACATATAATTAAAAATAAAGTTTAAAAAATAGAGTCTTTCTGGGCATAATGGCACACGCCTTTCATCCCAGCACTAGGGAAGCAGAGGCAGGTGGATCTGTGTGGGATAGAGCCCAGCCTGGTCTACATAGCAAGTTCCGGGCCAATTGTAGCTACAGGGAGACCCTATCTAAAAAAAAAAAAAAAAAAAAAAAAAAAAGAACCCTCTAAGGATAAAGACATGAAATTGACCAGTCACATGCATAAAAGATGTTTCATATTTGTAACTGAAACTAAGCAATTGGGAACAGTCTCTTTTTAAATAAAAGACTCCAGATCCTTAGGAGAGCTAAGAGGTGAGGGCTTCAAAATAAATACCTGTTCCTGGAAGCCTAGGATAGTAAAATCATGGATGTCACTGCAAGGACCAGTGAGAGCTGAGGGCTACAGGCCTGCACACAGGCCAACTAATGAAAACATAATGTAACATTGACTGGTACTACTCCTCCGTAACCCAGGTCGGTCTCAAACTCCAGGCAGTTCTGCCTCAGCCTCTTTAGTGCCGAGATTACAGGTATCACCACGCCTGGCTCTTCTTCCGCGATTACAGGTATCACCATGCCTGGCTCTTCTTCCAAAAAACAAGTCACAAATTCTTAAATAATCAAGCAAACAAAATTCGCAGATTTTAACAAGTACAAACTGTTTTTGTTGCAAGTGCCCTAGTGTTTAATATCACATGGATGCTTAAAATATTCTAATTATACAGTAGGCATCAGTAACTGAATTTATATTTAGGGCCCACAGTTCAAATTCTGTAAGTCAGACATGATGTCAGTACGACACCCATCAGCAGCTATTCCCATTAGAAGACCTAGGCTGCCTCAAGCAGCAACACAGGAATTGAATGCAAGATATGATTAAGTGCGGTGCTGCATCTTGGGTTCCTTAATCAATATTCAGCCTTGTTGACAGCTATGACTGTAACCATTTGCAAATACAAGCAAGAGCTGCAGCACTACAAAGGGGCCAGCAAGATAGTGCATTCTTCCAGTGTCTTTGACAGGGTCTCAAATAATCAAACTCCCCCAACCCCAGGAAGAATGGAAAAGCCCAGGTAGCACTCATCCCACTAGCCAAGAGTTGCTCTCTATTCCTGAAATTCTAAGGCTCACCATTTATTTTCACAAAGAATCTTCTGTCTCAGCCAGCCTGTCTCTACCACTGCAGCCTGTAAAGGCATTCAGTACAGGCCAAATAAAAACCAGGTAGCATCTGGTTTGCATCCCAAAGGGCAATTCAGTTTAGGAGGAAGCAAGATTATTGTTTCTGATGCATTTAAGGAGTCCTGTTCATTGCAGAGCAGGGCAGCAATGGTCAAGGTAGAACATGGCTAAGGAACATCAATGGTCAGTCACAGCCAAAAAGGCTGTGGGCATCCCCTTGGCTCATCTGAATATGCTTCTGTAAACAGTAACATTTCCTTTCTGAAAGCAAGCACACACCAATACAACGGCCAGTTACTCTCCACTTGCTTCCACTTCAACCACACACAGTGAAGTGTTATTCTTCACTCTGTGTGTGTGTGTGTGTGTGTGTGTGTGTGTGTGTGCGCGCGCGCGCATGGAGGCCAGAGGTCAGCACTGTGTCATTCCTCAGGAACCATCCACATGTCTCTCATTTGGCCTGGAGCTAGCCAACTATGCTAACCACAAGCTCTCCACCCCTCAGCACTGGGATTACAATCACACACAACACCCAGTTTTTCACATAGGTTCTGGGGTAGAACTCGGGTTCTCATGCTAACCCCACAAGCATTTTGCCAACTGAGCCATCTCCCCAGCCTTTATTCTCTACATATCCCCCATGAGGCCAACCTTGGAGAAACCTCATTTCTGAGCTCTTTCCCTCTGGCTTAGGATGGGGTTCAGCTAATGGGAGCCAATGGCAGGCATGAGACAAGAGGACCAGAGGGGACAGTCTATCTTCCTCTTCACTCAGCTGCAATGCCAGCCATAGCTCTGGGGTGGCCAGGTGCCTAGACACACACATACACACACACTCCAGTAACCTGCCCTGCTCCCGCTGATACCACTTAACCTCAGGCCCAAGAGTGACAGCCTCATGCTGTTGCTAAGCAACCCTGCCCTTGCACATAGGTATCATAGTCTGCTCCCCTGAGCCCCACCCACTTCTGCAAACAGTTCTTTAGGCAGCTTCTCCGGTGTGTTTCCTGCCAGGACCCGACAGATGTCCCTGTACCCCATACACTGCTCTCCCTCTAAGGAACGTAATGCTGTCCAGCCCTGTTTGTGTCAGGAGGATTCTGACTACACAGTGTGTTCTCATAGGATCCTCTCCACCTTCAAATAAAATGCCACAAAACCAGATGATAGGATTCAATATTTTATACAGGAAAAAAAATCAGGTTTCCAACATTAATTCCATTGAACAAGTGCACAGCATTTTCATGAACTATCTCCAGGCAACATCAATACAAAACAGTTTAAATTAGTAAAAAAGCCATTTCAAAAGGAAAACCCTTGATGACTTTAGGGTAAGTGTTAAGACCACTTGCAACAGAGGATGCAAGGCAGCAATGTGGTTTCTACATGATGTAGGAACAGGCTGGCCTGTATGTTACTGCTTTCCAGTGGCAGAAGGAGACCCCAACTGCCCTACAGGATACAAATAGTGGCAGAAAATATCACCTTCATCTGCTGAGAGGAACCCCAATTCAGTCACAGTAAAACTGCTGTTGACTGGCCAGCAAGGCTCAGCTATCAGCCCTTTATGTATCTATCTAACCAAAGGCGTGCAGAGTGGAGAGAGAGTACCCTACAGGACAGTGCCACGAGGGTAAGGAACAGTGAAGCCGATAATCCTACAGAGCCAATGCAGAGCAAATCCTCTTTTTGTGGTGTAAGACAGCTTTCAAATGGTCTGTCTATGGTTTTTGTCTGTCCAAGCAGCTCCTGTTAAACTTCCAAGTTGCATTATCAATTGTAGGGCCGCCACAGTATAATATATGAACTGGAAAAGCACAATGTTGGCATTTGTAGAGGGGGTAGCATATGGGGCCTGGCATCACCAGATTGTGCAGAGCATCGAGAAAAGTCACAGCTGTGGGATCTCACTGGGGTATGCATGCCCTCTGCCTCCCTGCCCCTGTAGAGAATGCTCTTAAGATTCACTCCATCAAGTTAAAAAAAAAATCAGATTTCTTTAGGTAGACAGCTGGGTACTTTTCTTGTTTCCTCCAAGGTGGTTATATATTGTACATGAAGTTATTTTCCTTTAGTTACACAATTTCCCAGAAGACTCACAAATAATGGTCAATAGTGCAGCCTTTCCAACACGTCACATATCCCAAGGCCCTCTGCGTAGATTCTGTTTGCTATCACTGGCAATCTGCCCAAGTTCTCACCATGAACATCAATCCACCCTGATGGATGTACTACGTCGTCTATCTACTACTTGCTAATGTCAAGCCTTCCTAGAAACCCTCACACCCTGACTGCATGCTCTGCCACAGCAGATGGCTTAGTGTCATACACTCCCTGACTGGCTCGTGTCAAGCTTAGAGTTCATCATGTTTCGCCTCCTGGTCTTTGAGTTTAAATTCCTCAGCCACGACCTTCCCATCTCCATTCCGGTCCTGGTTGGTAAACATATTCTTCACAATCATTTCAGCATCAAAGCCAGGAGCCAGTTTCCCTTTGCCCGTTGCCACCTGGGCATGAATGTACTCTGAGAACTGGAGAGAAAGGGGACAGAGCAAAGGTGAGGTACAGTGAGATACAGCAGCTGCAAGTGTGGAATCAGACCTGAAATACTGCAGGGTGAGGGTGGGAGGCTGGAAATGGGGTCTGAGCTTCCAAAACAAGCTGTCCTCAGACCTGGACAGGACCTGGACTCCTTTCCCCGGGTGCGGGTAAAAATCCCTAAACTAGGGATTGGAAAGATGGGTCAGCAATTAGACCACAACTGTTCTAGCAGAGGACCTGAGTTCAGTTCCCAGCACCTACACTGGGCAGCTCACAACCACCTGTAACTTCAGCTCCAAGGGATCCAATCCCCTCTTCTGGTCCACACAGACACCTACACATATGTGCACATATACCTACACAGACACATAATTTTAAAAAGTAGTAGAAAAATGAAACCTCCTGAACTAAATGACTTGAAGAAGCCTTAGAACCAGGTAGCCCACATCCATGGCAACCACCAGAACAAGCCTTCAGCTTCCCACCTGAGGATGAACCCCTGAAAAACAATGTTGGATCCAAACATCCATTTACTCACACAATAAAAACAGCATCTACCATGTGCAAAGACCATTCTAGACCTACAGGACATATCATACACATAAACACTGAACTTGAAATGTTTACATTCTACATGAATATAACCATTAAGTAAATTACATTTTAAGTTACAAAATGTAATGCTCCAGGAAAAAAAAAAAAAAGAGAGAGAAAGGCAATGGTAAGAAAGGGCAAGTTTAAACAGTCAATTTGGTGGTCAGAGTAGAACCTCTGGGGTCAAGGAGACTAGTGCAAAAACTTGAAAGACGCAAGAGAATGAGTCAAACAGTTATCTGAGACACGTAGGTTCTAAGCGTAGAGAGCAGCTGGTGCAGAGCCTGCCTGGAAGGTTCACAGAACTCCAAGGGAGCATGCAATGGGCCAGCCACACAGCAGAGGGAGTAGCTGGCAGTGAGAAGATGGTGGAAGACTGTTACAGACCACAGGAGGCCATGGAGATGGGGCAGGTCCTGAGAAGTGGCCATGAAGGACACCAATGCTCTCACCTGAACAACGGGAAGGAAAGAGTGCACTGATGGCCACAGAGAATCTCGGGTTGAAGCAGGCTTGGAGTTGGGTCAGGACAAGGCTCAGTGGTACAATAAATGAGAGGTTTTTCAGGTGGTCGGATACATGAGTGTAGAATGAGGAGACGAGGTGGGGTGGAGTTACAAATCTGGATCACATCAGAGCGATAGGAAGGAGGTGGACAGGACAAGGAACTCAGTCCAGGCTCTAGCCTGGGGCCCTCCCACAGGAAGATACAGAAGAGAAGAGGCCAGTGAGGTGGAAAGTGCGTGAATGCACCCTGTCGGGGTTGGGGTGGGGGCATGACACCACAAGCTGAAGAGGCAGAGCTGGGGTCAATGGCATAACAAGACAGAGGCCTATCAAGACTAGGCCCAAAGAATGGAAAGCTGAGCAAAGCAGTGTGAACCTGGAGTCCCAGCTACCTGGGATACTGAAGGCAAAGATGGCTTGAGCCCAGGAGTTTGGGGCACAAAGAAAGAAAGAACCCATCTCACAAAAAATAAATCCAGGCATGACAGTGCATACTTGTGCTCCTAGCACTCAGGAGGCTGAGACAGGAAGATCATGAGTTCAAGGCCAACCTGGGCAAGACCTCATCTCAAAACCACAAAAATGTATGCATGAAATAAAAGAATGGGCACAGAAAAATAAAAGGTAAAGCTAACAGTTCTTCTGAGGTTTTTACTGTAAAGTGAGCAATGAGGTTTTAAAATTGGAAAGACATATCAAAAAGTAATATAAAAAAATAATTGTACTGGGCATGATGGTGCATGCCCATAATCTCAACACTTAGGAGGCTGAGGCAGGAGGACCACGAGTTCAAGGTTAGCCTTGGTGACCTACTGAAACTATGTCTCAAAAACAAAAGAGAATGGAACATGGAATGTATGCCAACAGGAATGATCCAGGTCCACATAGTGACATAATAGAAAGGGGGAAAGGCTGGAGCACACGCATGAGGTGAAGCAGGCAGCAAGCTCCAACACTGTGCTCAGCTCCAAAAGAGGTGGGTGACCCTGGCACAAAACACTGGCTAGCTGAGATCTTGGGCAACCATTTCCAAAGTTTCCTCTGAATCATGACTATTACACAGCTGTTGAGCATGAAAAGAGCACGAGGCAGACCTTTTTTCTTGGGGGGGGGGGGGCACCCAGTAGCCAGGCCCTGAATCCAGATTTGTGCTTTAAGACAAGCCCTGCACCTCTCAAGAGCTCAATTTTTTCCTGTGAGAATGTGTGTAAAAGCCCTTGGAACATACGTGTGCTAGTTACCATCATCATGAGAAATCTGTGTAGCCTGCTGTCCTCAGCATATGGAAGGCTCTACTTTCAGAATGGACCCTATCACATGAAGCTCCCTGGACAGCTTCTGACCCTCCTGCCACAAAGGCCAGTTACCTCCTCCAGCAGGACTTCTCCATTGCCATCCTTGTCGATTTCTTCAAAGAGGTTGGGGGACACCTCACCATTCCATATGAACATGTACCCCTCAGGCAGGCCAGACACCAGCTCCAGAAGTTCAATGTCAAACACTAAGACAGCACTACCAGGCACTTCTCCATCTACTCAAGAAACAGGTAGAGCATGGTGTTAAACCACAGGGTCTAGACCATCCACCTGTGCTCCCCTCCCCAGTCTCTGGCTGTCATACCCAAGGCGGCTGCTCGTACCCAGGTGTAGCTGTTGGTCTCCCTGTAGCCTCACTGGTCTGGAACACACTAAAGTAGACCAGGTTGGTCTTGATCACAGAGATCTGACTGCCTCTGCATCAAGTGTGCTGGTATCAAATGTGTGCACTATGACCATGCCCAACATTTTTTTAACTAAATCCCCATACATCACATACAGAAAGGATTTCATGAAACCTGGGCTTTAGTTTATAAGCAAAATTAAATCTTAAAGCTGGGGCGATAGCTTGATAGCATGTAAAAAAGTCAGGTATGGACCAGTGAAATGGCTCCGTCAGTGAAACACCACACTGTAAGGATTCAGTGAGCCTGGCTTTTCCAGAACTTGGAAGCAATCTCTGCCCCAGAGTATTTTCTTGGCTGACTTACAGACTCTGAACAGTGAGAAGCAATGGCCCCCTGCATCCCACCTATCCCAGGACACAGTTCCCAGGAGCAGGCAGCCAGATGCCAGATAATCACCTAGAGGCCTCCTCCAGGGTCTAACCAAATGAACCTGCAGACCAATAGTGTGTCTTCTTAAAGCCTGCTTTCTCAAGGCAGTCAGCAACAGCTCACTGTATTCACAGGGGTCTTTAAACAAAAATGTTCAAAATGTAAAAAAAAAAAAACAAAAAAAAAGCCATAAACCACAATCCCCTTTAGGTTTTACATAGATGGTCCACTTATGACCAAAAAAAAAAAAAAACATACAATTCAGATGGTGAATGTGCCCAACACTCCTGACCCCTGCCACTTACCCACGCCGGCCTCTCCGTAGCCCAGGTGGGGTGGAATGATCACTGTGCGTTTCTCTCCCACACACATCTCTCTGAGGCCCATATCCATCCCCAGCACCACTTGTCCAGATCCCAACACAATGTTGTAAGTTTTTCCTAAATTCCACCTGAAAGAAGAAATGAATGCTCATCAACCGTGGCCGAGGGTGCTCTGCTCAAGATGGGCAGTCCTGTGGGAGCAAGAGACTGACACACATCAGGGCACATTTGGCAAAACAACCAGCCTGACACTTTTCAAGTGTCAAAGGCATGGAAATCGAAACCAAAGGGCTGTGCCACAGAACAGAAGTAAGTGGGAGTGGGCTCCTTCAGCCATGAGAGGTGTTACAGAAATACCAGTGAAAACGAAGTGGGATCTGAGGACTGAAAGGTTAACAGTGTATACGTCCTGATTTTAGTGGAAGCACTGAATTACACAGGACACACTGAGAACACCTGTTTGTAGGAAATGCACACTCAAGACTTTGGAGTGATGGGACTTCCTGGCTACAAGCTTCTCTCTGATGGTTGGGGGGGGGGGTTGTTTGCATCTAAATAGGCATTTTATGAGAATTTATTATATACAATGTAGTTAGGAGCCTGGTTTTATTATTTACCTATTTAGAGACAGAGTCTCACTATGGCTCAGGCTGACCTCAAACTCCTGATCCTCCAGCTTCATCCTCGAAAGTGCTGGCATTACACGCATCCACCAGGCTTAGGAGCATGGATTTTAGATTCAGGACTGTGTCCCAGACAGCGTGTTTCCTCTGAGGGGCGGGGCCTGCTGAGGAGAATTGACTGTGGGGAGGTAGTCACAGGAGGAGGGGCTTTCTGCACCATCTTGGACTGGAGCCACAACCCTACCAGAATATGCGTACCAACCTGCGGCAGGACTACAGGGCCCATGAGGTGTGGGCAAAAGCTAGCAGTGACTTTGGGCAGGTGGTGGGAGCAATCTGGAGTGTGGTGGGCTTGCAGTATGGAATGGCAGGCTCGGAGCAGAGGCGCAGAGCTGGTGAGCACCTGGTATTTGTCTCTTTGTGAGTTATCCCCCTGACACACACACACGGTATAAACTATAATAAATTCACATAAAAATATGTTATCTGGTTTGTCTGATAGCACAAGAACCCCGGAGAGAACTCGGGCGACAAGGACCTGAGTTAGAATCCTGGTGCTGCCATTTAATTTGACCTTGGGAAATGTGATCTTTGTTTCGTTATAAAGAGAGTCATAGCTGTATCAGGAATATCCTAAATAGCAAACCATAAACACACGTGGCACAGTGGAGAGCAAAGAAAGGAGTGGGCACAAATGGATGGCCCTAAGGGGCAATGCCCTACTGTCTGGAAGGCCTTTAACTCCACAAACCCCCTGAGAATGTCACTAACCTCAATGCCTGGAGTCCTGGGGACCTAGGGAAGAAGTTTGCCACAGAAGAAAATCAGTCTATTTCAAAATCTGTGGTACTCCCCCAAAGTCCAACACCAGTTACGTTCTTCATACCCAAGAAAGAAATAACCAGACCTCCCTTAATGCCCATTACCAGGTGTTGACAAGGAACAACTGTCTCCTTAAGGCTAGAGCCCCCCTCAGTCCCCTCTGCCTCCCAGGGCCAGAACTGCCACTTCTTCCCTCCTTCCCAGGACAAGCTGGCATCCTGGGGCCAATAAACCCAGCAGCCTTATGTTTATCCTCCCTGGGAGAAAATTCTACAAAGCCAACATAGGCTCAAGATGCCCTTGGGGGGAGGCCTGCGGAGGGGCCACCTCTGACCTACTGCTGTCAGGCCTCTTGTCAGCTGTATCAAGAGTCTTCACACTTCCTCTCTCCAAGCCCCTGTCAGAGGCAGCACTACTCTCAAAGTCTTACAGAAGAGTCAAGGTCTCGTTTATCCAGTAAGGAATGCCCAGTTGAAATATACAGGCAACAGGAGAACCCTCTAGCAGGCAATTTGTCACCCATCCAGATCTCCATCTCTCCTCCCAGCAACAGCTGCTCCTTGTCCTGATGACAAGTGTCCACCCCTGTGTGGGGAGGTCGTGTTCACTGCACCCATGCAGGGCTTGAGGGGAGCCAGGAGGGCAACTGCCTGCCACCCTTCCCATCATTCCTTTACTTGGGAACTGTACCCCCAAAAGAGGCCAGGAGGGCCATGTGGTCTATAGATTTACATGTAGCACAAACAACTCTCAAGGCACAAAATGGAGTTCCTCATAAAACGTGACTCCTAAGAGCTCCATGAACACGTGACTGCATCAAACACATCAGAGACAGGAAGTCGATTTTCTGGCCCACAGAGGCAGATCCTGAAGCATGAGGATGGAATTCCTTTGCTCACCTCCCACTGCACATCCCCTTTCCACAGCCTGAGCAGCAGACAGTAATTGGAACACTGGCAAAGGCCGGCCCACTTTCCCTTGCGTGAGCTCTCTTGACCCACTAAACAACTACAAGCCATGCTTCTTTCCCTCTGCCTCTGAATACTTCCAGAACTAGTGGTGGGGGTTTCTTTGTAAGCCATATATCTGTGAATCCGGGCCAAAGAAGTAAAGAACATAGTTCATCAATTCTAAAATGTGAAATTTTTTTCACATGTTAACATCTCTGTCATTATGACTGACAGAGCATCATTATTTTCTGGTAATACTTTTGCTTTCTTAGAGATGCTTAAAATAGTATTTCTAATAAGTGAATTTTTGATTTTATGAAATACACTAAACACATTAGTATTCAGAACCTCAGAGCCCAAAGCCAGACTTCAGAGTGACAGGAACAAGGGAGAGAGGCGCCTTCACAAGTACAAGAGCAGCCCTTAACGCAAAGGAAGCCCTTTCCACTTCCAACTCCCTATTTAGAGATCTAAGTCAGGCTCAGCACAGAAGTGAAGCACTTACACAGAAATATAAAGAAAGCCTGAAAATGTTTCTTTCCCAGAACAGAAACTATGATACTTACAGATGTTTTTGAGGTTCTAATTCATAGGAAGCAACACTCCTCTGACATTCTTAGTTAATAGATATTCAGGTTTATTTAAATCAACTAACATTTATAAAATACTCTTTTTGTTCTACAGATGCTGATCAGTAATAGGTAGAGACAAAAATAACTTGAAACTTGGTAATCCAAAAAATAATAATAATACCTAAAGCGCTAGGAGACAGGAGTACTTGATTCTTCCTAGGAATTAAGGAAAATTTTTGAGAAAAGGAAAGGCATTTAAGTCCAGATGAAAGTTGGCCAGAAGAAATAGGTCAAGCAGTGTATCATGATAAGAGGCAACTCTGCAAAGAAGGTTCCTCAGTGAAGAAATGACTGGTGAGGCAGAGTAGAGCAAAGGGGGCATTATGTACCAGACTCTGAGTCTGGTCTTTATCTGAGGATCTCACTGTGTATCCCACGCTAGCCTTGAACTCTGTCTCCTATCTCAGCCTCCTAAGTGCTGAGATTGTAGGTATACTAGGTATATGTACCACATTTTGCTCCAAGGGTCAGTTATTGAAGACATGAATATGTACTTGAGAAAGACAATTCCACCAGGTAAGAAGCAGTTTGGAACAGGAAGCTTTTCTGTAGAAAACTCTGAGCCTTGGGGAGGCCTGTGCTATGCAACCAGGAAAACATAGAACAAAATACTCCTAACTAAGGGTTGATGAAATACAGTAAGGAGGATTACCAAAGGCTCGCTCCCGCCCAGTTCCCAGTTTTCCCTTACGTGGAATCCAGCAGGGTTCCATCCAGAAGTGAGGCATTGTAGTGATATTTGAGGTAATCCCCCTTCTTACTCAGCACTGAGCAGTCAGAGGGTTTGTAGAGGGAAGTGACGCTGATGGAGTCCGAAGGGTTATGAAAGTCAATCACGTGGATGTCAAACACCAGCACAGCTGAGCCAGGAATATTCCCTAAAGAGAAGACAAGGGTATTAATGAACACCCCTACCTCATTACAGCACACGTGCCTCCTCGTACCAGCAGGTGTGTCCTCATGAGGCCCAGGTATAAAATCTCAGGGAACACCGGAAGAATGAGGCTGCAAGCGATGTGAGTGTTCTAATCTTCATTCTGTAGATGAGGAAACTGAGGCAGTATGTCCAAAGCCAACGGGGAGTACAATTTGGATTCAAATTCAAGACCGTGTTGTCCAAGCTGTGAAGCATGAAAGATGTATGACTGAGTGACCACAGACCTAACTCAATCCTGACCAAATGAAGGTTTGCCCTGTCCCAGAAAAGTCGGGATGGAAAACGAACTGCAGAGTGGAAATCACTGCAGTGTCCAAAAAGAAGCAAAATTAATTACCATAAATTTCACAAAGGAAGAAGCAAAGTGGTCTGTGCATACTCCTTATGTATGTAGACTTGCAATGTGTCCAACGTGTCCTATACATTACAGAATGGGCATAATCAGGTACGATACAAAGCACTTAGAAGAATGCCTGGGATTTAATAAGCACCTGTTACATGTACATATTATTAAATCATTATCATAACCTTACATTCTTGATATGCAAATAAGGAAACTAAGGCTTGCCCCAAGTTAAAAGTTATGGGGAAGTTTGTACTTTATAGTAAGACATAGATGCCCGATAGTCATGTCTTTGGTTTTTCTTTTTTTTTTTTTTTTTTTTTTTTTTTTTGGAATGTATGGTTTTTTGTTTTTGCTTTTTGAAGCAGGTCTTGTTAGGTAGGCCCAGATTGACCTCAAACCCCTGCCACAGCAGCAGGACCTCCAGAGTGATAGTCACAGCTGGTGGTGTTATTGGGAATGGAGTATAGGAACCAATACTACAGACAGCCATTGGCCAGGAGCATTCAAAACCAAGGCAGTGCTAATGAGAAAACGGACACACAGGGGATTCTCAGCCTGGGCAACTCATTAAAATTGCCTGGAAACAGACTTTGCCAACTCAGGCTAAATTGTCAACGCAGGCAGCTTCTGCCCGCAGGATTCCATTCCTACTGAATGTCCATAATAGGCAAATCCACGGACAGAAAGCAGAGCAGTAGCTGCCAAGCTTGCAGGTGGGGGCTGGTGGTGGAGGAGAGATTGTGTGACTACCCCTGAAGATGGAGTTAGTCAGATGGTGGTAATGGTGGTTGCCCTACCTTGTGAATATAGTAAAAATCACCAAGCGGCAAACCATAAACGAAGCCGCATGGAGACCAGGCTCCCTATTAACTTGGCCCTTGTCTTTCACACTATGAAATATGCTTTCTTCCCTTATCATCTACAATTCTGGGCAGCTGCTTCCCAGTGGTAAGAACAGCCTGAGGAATAAAGAACTCTGTTCTTGAGATCTCCTGATAAGGAGATGAGGGTCAGGATCTAATTAGGATAACAGTCTATGTTGCAGCCTCCCAGCAAGATGGCTCTTCAAAAATCCCCACTTCCTCATCACTTATGAATAAAGTAATAATAAAAGTCATCATAATAAAATGGATAATAAAGAAAATACTTTTCAGAAGAGAATGGAGCCAAGACAGTAACGCCAGTGATGGGCAGGCCCACGCCTTGACCAGAACTGCACAGCTACTCTTCCTCTTGTTCTCTATTTAAACCTAGACCTCATGTCCAGTCTCCTGAAGATGGATTTGAGAGAGGGGAGTTACTGAACTCCTTCAATGTGGGTGAGTATCTCAGGTGCCTGGTTAATTCAGAAGCACAAACGCACATCCAGTGAGGGCATCGGCAAGCATCTAAACTCTGTGTGTACAGGGACTTGTGCCTGACTTGTTCTCTGGCGGGTTGCTAACACTTAAGCAGGATCTGAGCATGAAGACACTAATGTATCTTCGATGGACAGGCAGATGGATTTTTCTGGGCTTATAAAACCAGAGAATAGACCTTGAGTCCCAAAACAGAGTCTTGAGCCCCAAGGAGCCAGCAGGCTTCCCACTCCCACCCCCAATTTGGTCTGACTTCCACAAAACAATCTATGGAGTAAGTACAGGAAGGAGCGCCTACCAGCAAACATGGCACATAATTTCATTATGGCCCTTCAGCAGCTTCCTCTCTGAATAAGCCCTTAACCAATGCAGAAGTAGTCACTATTTCCACAAGAATGCCTCTCTAAAAGGCACAAGTGACAAAAAGGCAGCTTCCACAGCTGGCCTAGAAGGAAACTCTTCCACTTCCTGTTGGTTATGGAGTTCCTATGAGAGCTTGGGGACTTCTGGTTTGAGTTCTCAGTTCAGGATATGCGGAACTAGTCATTGACTAATGGGGACCTGCCCTGTTATACATCATAAAGCCTCGGGTGTGACTGTGGCTCCATCTCTAATTAGCTACTCTGGCTTTAGGCAAATGACTCAACTTCTATGGGTGTCATTATTTCATCTAAACAATGATAATAGTAACACATTCTTCTGTAAGCGTACATGTGTGCAAGGGTGTGTGGAGGCCAGAGGGACAACCTTAGATATCTGTCCACTATTTATTTTTCTGAGATAAGGTCTCACACTGGCCTAGAAGTCATCAAGGAGGCTGGTTGGCCAGAGAGCTCCAGGGATTGGCCTGTCTCCAGTGCTAGGATTACAAGCCCATGCCACGACATCTGGCTTTCTTATGCAGGTACTAAGGACTGAACTTGGATCCTGATGCTTATATGGCAAGCTCTACAGTAACACAATTGTTTCCAGCAAGAAGGTCCAGAGAGGCTCAATGGGCAAAGTACCTGTCATTCAAGCATGAGACCTGGAGTTGGGAGCCCCAGAACCATATGAAAAGCTGGGCATGGCAGTGCATGCCTGTAATCCCAGCCTGAAGCTCACTGACTAGTCAGCCTAGCCAAATCAATGAGCTACGGGTTCAGTGAGAGACCCTGTCTAAAAAAATTAAAGTGGAGAGTGATAAGAAGAAAAACACCTGACATCAGCCTCAGGCTTCCGCCCGCATGCATGCACACGTGCACAAAGTCCCAGGTACAAGTGGGTAAAATAGGAATTATTTTTCTCATTTTCCTCTGTCCAAAAGAAAAAAAAAGTGTTTAAATGACAACTTGGAAGTTGAGTAACAGCTCACCTCAAGGAAAGTACACTTAGATAACAAGTAAGTTGCACCTGAAGACTGAAAACACACTTAAGCATCCTAATTTCAGGACTGTCCTCAAGGAACAAAGCCGACGACAGGAAGTCCAGAACGTTTCCAGAAGTCTTACCCCTACCAATCCTACAAGGGAGACAGCTACAGAACGCTTCTAGAGGCGGGGAATGCCATGGAGCCCAGCAATTCATTACTGCCATGGATAGTTATGATGTCCTTGTTATATGCCTAGCCCTTTGGTGTGCTGAGAGAACGTCATAAACTAGACAGATCAGCAAGCTCAAACCTTTCTGGGCCAGTCTCCAAAGGATCAGCATGAAGTCCTATACAATTGTCCCAAAAAGACCATGAGTGCTAATCCAGAGGACAGAGGCAGGACCCACCCAACAGAATGTGGATTTTATAGCACTGGGTACTCTCCCACTGCAATGTGTGGTTCAAGATGGCACAGTCTCATGCTCATAAAATTTTTGAGTCTTTGGATGCTTCCCAAAGCCCTATGTAACTCTCTGCAGAGCCTGGTCTCATACTTGATGGTGAGCCAAAAGGAAAAAATACTTTAAGCAAATGGTTTCCATCAATGCATTCTTTTTTAAAGACAAGGCTAATTCAAGTCATAATAAAATAAGAATACTTGGAAATTATGTTTCTGTATGTATTTTATCAGAACCAGAAACTGACAAAATACAAAAGTATCTAGACACTAAATATAGGACATGAAGCAAGGGTTATTTTTATTATGTATTTATTTATGTAATTTCAGTCCTGGGGACTGGACCCAGGGCCTCATGCATGCTGCACAAACACGGCTGCTGGGCTGTATCCTCTTACTGTTTCTTTCTTTTTCTTTTTACTATTTTATTTATTTTTATTTTACGCATCTGAGTGTATTGCCTATATGTATATAAGTGCACCCATGCTGGGCAATGCCCGTGGAGGTCAGTAGAGGGTGTCGGATCCTCTGGAACTGGAGTTATGGACAGTTGTTAGCTGTCATGTTGGTGCTAGGAACCAAACCTGGGTCCTCTGCAAGAGCAGCTGATGCTCTTAACCACTGAGCCATCTGTCCAGCCCCCTGCCTTTCTTTCTTTCTTCCCTTCCTTTCTCTTTCTCCTCTCTCACTCCTCTCTCCTCTTTCTCCTCTCCTCCTCTTCTTCTTCCTCCTCATGTCTCATATCATCCACATGTCTCCTGTAGTCCAGGCTAACCTCAAACTCACTATGTAACCAAGAATGACCTTGAACTCCTGAGTCTCCTGCCTCTGCCTCCTGAGTTCTGGAATTACAGACACGTGTTATCATACCGGACTCCTCTAGCTCTTGTTTCATTTTCTGCTTTGTTTAGGGGTTTTGTGGCGGCGGGGGTGGGGGGGGGATGTCTTTCTGTTTTGGTTTTAGATAGGGTTTCACTATATAGCCCTGGCTGACCTGGAACTCACTGTGTAGACCAGACTGGCCTGGAACTCACAGAGACCCACCTGCCTCAGCCTACTGACTGCCTCCTGACCATGCCTGGTCCAAGCTCTTGTTTCTTAAGCTATGATCTCATCCATCTTAACAATTCAGAAGTTTACGTCAAGGAGAAAAAAAAAAAAAATGCTTCTCAATTGAACACTCGAGTTTCCAGTCAACTTTAAGTTTCTTAGATCCTCTGTGAGAAAATTCCCAGGATCCACATGACATGATTAGAAATCAGGTTAACCAAGTGAGTATAAACAACCAAGACCAGCCAAAATTTCAACAGAAAAAAGATACAAACCCAAAATAAATACTGCATCAACTGATCCTACTGATCCTAAGGAAGTCTCAGCAAGTCAGCAAAGTATTAACATATGAGAAAAAAACACAAGAAAGAAAGAATATATGGTTGAAATACTGTACAGCCACTAAAGATACTTGCTAGCATAGAAAACTGTTCACAACAACTGGGTCAAGAAAGAAATTATAGTCAAGATGAAGAGAAGGTCCTCCTTTTTTTCCAGCGTACGTTAGTATAGGCAGACAGCTAGTCTTCCTCTGTAAGACAGGACCTATTTTATACAGCCCAGGCTGGCCTTGAACTCTCGATTCTCCTGCCTCCACCTCCCTAGAGCTGTGCTTGTAGGCATGCAGCGCCACAGCCAGCACTTAGATTTCTTTTAACCTACACGTGTACACAAAAGTACACCAAGTACAGTTGTTATCGGTTTCCTACTGTGGATTTCACAAACTACCACAAATATGGTCACTTAAAACAATGAAAACTGGGCTGGGGATGCAGAGGGCAGGGCAGGGGAGGGGAGGGGAGGGAAGGGGAGGGGAAAAACGGGAGGAGAGGGAAAGGGGAAGGGAGGGGAGGGGAGGGCAAGGGAGGGGAGGAGAAAAGGGGAGGGAGGGGAGGTGGAAGAAGAAAAGCAAACTGATGCCCACAGTTCTGAAGTCTCTGGAAGATGGAGGAGTATTTCAACGGTGCTGGCAAGGATGCATTCCTTTCAGAGGACTCAGGCGAGACTGGTTCCTTCATTGCTTTTCAGCAGCATGCACTGGTGACCACAGCCCCCTCCCTCAGTCTTCTGTCAGAAGCTTAGGTAGTTCCCCTGGCTGACATCCGGCCTCACTCCTGCAGGCTCCTCAGGATTTCATCTGGTTTATCTGCAACACTATCCCTGCCTCAAGGTCCTTTACCACATCAGCAAACAGAATTCACAGGGCTGGGGGATTTGGATATGGATATCTTTGGTGTCTTATTTCACCTACCACAGTACATTAACAATGTTTACTTCTGGGTGATGTGATCATGAGAGATTTGGGGGCTTTGTTCATCTGTAGTTTCGTTTTTTCTAAAACTAATAGATATTATTTGTATAATGTTTGCTTTGTTTTTGAAACAAGGTCCTGTTTAAATTGGGCTAGCTTCAAATTCCCTCTTTAGCCAAAGCTGACCTTACATCCTGATCCTCCTGCTTCTACCTCTAGAGTGCTGGATTACAGGCCTGTCTACCACACCTCACAATTTATGCAACATTTTTAAAAGAGTTTTTGTTTGCTTTGTTTTGTTTTAGATAAGGTCTCCCTGTAGCCCCAGCTGGCCTGAAACTCACTAAGTAGACCAGGCTGGACTTGATCTCACAAAGATCTGCCTGCCTCTGCTGGGATTAAAGACATGCGCCACCATGCCTGACTTAAGATTTATTTTTCTGTATGTGTGTGTATGTGTGTGTGTCAGAGAGAGAGAGAGAGAGAGAGAGAGAGAGAGAGAGAAAATATACCACATGTATGTGTCAGAAAGAAATGCCTGATGCCCTGAAGCTGGGGTTACAGGTGGTTGTGAGCTGCCTGATATGGGTTCTGGGAACCAGACTAAGGTTCTTTGGAAAAACAAGGGCTCTTCACTGCTGAGCCTTCTCTCCAGCCCTGTTTATGCAACTTTTTAAAGTAAGTTTGCTCTTAAGGTGACAAAAATTTTCACAGAACTAAGGCACTATCTACATAACTCACTAAATTTACTAAAGTCACTGAACTGTACAGTTAAATGGGTGAGTTTCTTAGTATACAAAGTAAAAAAGTGAAGGGGCTACACTTACTATCAAACATTTCACTGAAAATAAACACAATTACAATTCAATGGTAAAAATTGGTGAAACAAAGTGGAATTCACTTTGCAATTCTTTCAACTCTGATGTAAATTTTTTAATTTCCAGGAGGGAAAAAAATGGGTAGGGAAGGAGATGTATCCAGACAGCTCTAGAAACAAACCAGCAGCGCAGGGGAGTCTTCAGCTGGACTTAGCTCCCTTGTTTTATCCCTAGAAGCCCTGGTTAGAGCAATATGAAAGCAACCAGGTAGTTAGTGAGGAGGAAGGTGATGCCTACCTCTTCCTTCCTCTCCATACCCCAGGTGAGGGGGGATCACAATCCTTCGCCTCTCTCCAATGCAAACACCAAGTAAACCTTCATCCATCCCAGGAATCACATAGCCCTGCCCAATGTACGTGTCAAAGGTACGGTTCCGTGAGTAGCTAAAAAGAAGAAAAAAGAAGATGAGGTAACTCAGGAGGGACACCACAGCAGCTGTGTAAATCCCCCAGAACCCCAACACCAAAGGGTCACAGAGGCCACAGAGGCCTCTGGAACCCAGAATAGCCAAACCTCAGAATGTGAGACAGCCTAGAAACATGCTCCTCTGAACAGGTAATGTGTGAGCATCTGCAGAAAGTGTGCCAGAAACAACCCACTGGTCCCGCTGGACGAGTCAAGTTATAAACGGAACAGATATGTAAAAGGCAGCCACACTGAAACAGATGACATGAACCGCCTCGTCCCCCTCCCCCTTGTCCCACTTACCCGTCCCTCCTCTGCCTCCTCTCTATCAACCCAATCCTACCAGCCCTACCCAGCTTCATCCCTTCCCACTCGTACCCACAGTAATAGTGCACAAAATACTATCAGTGTTTCTTTACTTCCTACAATAATTAACATTTAAGGACTTTTCATGTTTTGCTTATTTCTGTGTTTCCACAGTGGGCCTGCCTGTGATGGTGATCGTTTTTGGAGATCCCCAGGAAGTACTGGGGGCTGAATCTGGTGTCTCAGCACTAGTCTAGCAGACGAAAATGACACCAACAATATGGAAGCCCAATATGGAAGAAAAAGGGTGAGGAAAAAACCCTAAAGCTTTTATATCTGTATTAAAACATGCACACTAGATGAATAAAGAAAGAAAGAAATCTGGGTGTAGTGGTATGCACTGTAATCCTAGCACTTGGGAATCTAAGGCAGGAGGATTAAGTACATATGCAGCAGATAGACAGATACACTGCGTACCTTGCTATACTCCTGGTTTTTACTCTGAACCTTGTGACTGCTACTTTTGTTTTCCAGACACAACAGCGCAATCACATAAGTGAACCCACAGCGCTTATGACCACATGCACAAGTTGCACAAGCCCAAGCCAGACAAAAACCCAGGATGGAAGGGGTAGGTGGGCAAGAAGCCCAGACCTAGCCTAGAACTACTTGCAATTGATAGCTGTTGGGGAGGAAAACAGTTTTCTTGAAGGGTGTAATCAACCTTCACCCAGGGAGACTGCTGGTGGGTCAACCAGGCTCCTGAGGGTAGACCCACAACCAAGATCATTTGGGGAACACAAATTAGACTCAATAAGCCATTAAAAATATATGTAAATAAATAGGCCGGGCACAGCAGTGCACGCCTTTAGTCCCAGACTTGAGAGGCAAAGGTAAGCGGATCTCTGTGAGTTTGAGGCCAGCCTGGTCTACATAATGAGTTCCAGGCCAGCTGGGGCTACAGGGAGCCTCTGTCTCAAAAAGAAAACACACACACACACACACACACACACACACACACACAAATAAATAAATAAATAAATAAATAAATAAATAAGGACATGACATGAGGGGGATGGGGCGTGATCTGAGAGGAGATGGGGGAGGGGTCAGATTATGATCAAATACATTGCAGGAAATTCTCAAAGAATCAATAAAAAAAATTTTTTTTCTCAAGTTTTAGCCTGCCATAGTGCTGCATACCTTTAATACCAGCACTCAGAAGGCAGAGGCAAAGATAGGAAGATTTCTGTGAGTTCTTGGCCAACCTGGTCTACATAGAGAATTCCAGGGCTACATTGTAAGTCCTTGTCTTAAAAAAAAGTTTTAATGAAATACAGAAGAAATCTTAGGACAAAGAGTGAGTTACTGAAATAAAAAGATTACCATGGATGAATTATCCTCTGATGCTTTGGATGATTAAAGAAGTCTATGACCTCAGGGAAACATGTAGGCTCTGTCATGACTTGCTGACAGGAAGCCAAAGGAGTGGTTTCCAAAACACACATGCCACTTGAATAAGTAAGACATACCAACTCCTACCACATGCATTTTGCACACATAGTGGGGTTCATAGTGGGATGGGATAGAATGGGAGTCTGGGTGAGTCCCTCCTGTTCACCTCCAGACATGTCTAAATCAGCCCTCAAAGAGACCCTGGTAAGCCTAGGAAGAAATTCAGAATCTGAAAACAGATCTGTATTACTGTGAGCATGACAGTATGTTTAGGCCATGGCCAACTGTGGTTAGACTCGATTTGGTCAGATGTTCTAGTGAATGAAGGTTTCCTTACCTGGAATCAAAGAGGGTTCCATCCAGAAGCGTGCCATTGTAATGATACCTGAGGAAGTCCCCACTCTGGCTTCTTCTCTCGCAGTTCTCAGGAACTACCTTGTTCTCAATGGAGATGCTATCCTTGGGGTTATGAAGGTCTAACAGTGCAACATCAAATACCAAAGACGCCTGTCCAGGAACGTCTTTCCCTGGAGTGAAAAGGAAGAAGGCAGTGCATTCCAGCACAACATTTAGGAAGTGCTCTAACCACTACTCACACCCTCGGTGTAGGTGTTCTCATTCCTTAACGTTTTTAAGCCAAGGAAACAAGTTCTCTTCTAAGTCTTGGGTGGTTCTCCATGTTGTATAACTACAGTGTCTCACCAGGTGTCCAACCATGGGCTGGTGGGTACAGCCTGGCTGACCCAGGAAAATGAGCACACTAACAGCAATGACATCATGCTACCATGACCACACCCGATAGGCTCACGCTGGTAAATAAAAGCTCTTTGTGGGCAGTATGCACCCACATGGAAACCCAAATCCACACCTCCATGGGCTAGTGTTTGCTTACAAACTCAAATTATAAACATTCAAATGTGCAAATTCCAAAGCTTTGATTTGGTCCTGGAAAACACCATAGTCTTGTTTCTCGAAACCAACAGCCCCCGGCCCCCTTTTTTCCATGATTTAAAATTCTTTATCCAAAACAAGATATAAATAAAAGCAGGTTCAGTAACAGAGAAAAAATGATATCCACAGTCCAAAAACAGTCTTCAGGTCTTCTCAGTCTCACTGCTGCATGGAGCAGCCTCTCTTAGATATCCCTAAGAGAGGATGTACTAGACACAGGGTACCACTGTATCCATGGGCTCTGCATCCACGGGTTCAGCCAACCACAGAACAAAAATACTGAAGATAAAAGTTATGTTTGGGGGCTGGAGAGATGCCTCAGTGGTTAGGAGCACTGACTGCTCTTGCAGAGGAACGAACCTACATTTGGTTCCCAGAACCCACAGCTGTCCATAACTCCAGTTCCAGGGGATCCAACAGCCTCTACAGCCCTCCAAAGGCATTGCACAACATCAGTGCACTTACAAACATACAGACAATACACTCATACACATAAAAATAAACGAGAGAAAAAATAAAAATGTTTAAAAGTTATATCTATAAAACCAGACATAATAGCACATACTTGCAATCCCAGTTCTGGGTAGGTAGAGGCAGGATGATGCGAAATTCAAGGTCATCCTCAGCTATATAATGAGTTCAAGGCCAGCATGGGCTACATGAGATTTTGTCTCAAAAAACAATTATGTTGGGGCTGGAGAGTTGGCTCAGAGGTTAAGAGCACTGACTGCTCTTGCAGAGGACCTGAGTTCAATTCCCAGCACCCACATGGTGGCTAATAAATATCTGTAACTGTAGTAACTCCAGTTATGGGGATCCAACACCCTCTTCTGACCTCTGCAGGCATTGCATGACATAGGTGCACTTACATACATACAGGCAATACACTCATACACATAAAAAATAAAAATAATTTTTTAAATAAAAAAGTTATGTCTGTACTGAACACATTTTTATTTCTGTCATTATTCCCTAAATAATACAATATGACAACTATTTGCAAATATATGTTGTATAGTAGTTTCTGTAAATTCAACTATTCCCTGGGGGGGAGGGGATTGAAAGTTCATAAGACTCAGGAGGTAAACAAACTGCACATGTCTGAGAAAGTTGAACCTTGCAAGGTTCTCCAAGACCCCTCTCCAGCTTTTAGAAGCAGCAATTCGAGGAGACTCCAACAAGCCCAGCAGCCAAGAGGAGATTCTCCAACCTGTCAAGCTACCCTCAGGTTGTACAGATAGCTCCAGGGACACAGCTTTCCTGAGTCATCAATCATGCTGTGGTGGGCTTCGGTGATGCAGCTGACTTTTGAGTCATCCCTGCTCCTGTAAGCAACCCTTTACCCACAGTCCAATAAAAATTCACTAGTTCACCAAGTTGGACTTTGGTGCAACAATTGCTTTAATCTGTCATTGGGTCCCTTTCTGGAATGAGTGCGTGTGTCACATCCCCCAGGAAAAGTATATCACACAATAACACAGTATCTACATACCATGCTAATTACTGTGAATAGCCTAAAGTATACAGGGTTGGGCATCTGAGGATTTTGATATCCTTAGGGAATCCTAGATCAGTCCTCCACAGGTACCATGGGACTGTTGTATTTACACTAATTCTATTTTCTAACATATAAAACACTCTTATTTTCTAACAAAATAATGTATTTTATAATACCATGCTTTGATATCCCTCCTGTAAAGATGATGTCACTAAGAAAACAAAGCACAGAGGTAAACTGTGAAATAACTTCTGACTTCATATGGGCAAGTTTCTGCTTGATGTCTACAGCCATTCAAATACCTAGTTCAAATATCATTTCACAGATGAGAACACAAAAGTCAGTAGCCCAGGCCCACTGGTGAGGCAGGGGGCTTCCAGGCACCAATGGCCACTAGTGGTAAGGTTCTGCAGAAAAGCTGTCTGAGTGGCACTGTAAGGCAGGAGCTTCTTCTGTAAAGATCAACATCAACCAAGTAACTCTAAATCCAGTAATTTGGAATAAAAGACAGTTACTACAAATGGACTTCCCCAGGGCACTTACTTGCCATGTGATTTACCACACAAAGGAGACATCCTAGGCAAGGTGGCATGCCAAGCCTGTGCTCTTCCTAGGGCCTGTGGCAAAGCCTACCCTGTCATCTTCTTCTCCCATAGAATAATAAATCTACTGTAAACAGGCTGCTGAGCCAGCCTCTGAGATGTGCAGTGTGGTCAATCCCCAAAGTTCAGGTGCCTGTGCATGCATTTGTGTGTGTGTGTGTGTGTGTGTGTGTGTGTATGAGAGAGAGAGAGAGAGAGAGAGATGAAGGGGGAGAGGGAGAGAGAGAGAGATGAAGGGGGAGAGGGAGAATAAGAACACTAAGTTTGTATGCTTTTTCTTTTAGATAAGAAGGAAAAAAGGGAGTTTCTTTAATTTTTGTTTCATTTTCTTTGTGTGATCAAGCCCAAGGCCGTGTACACCCAAGACAAATCTTTTCCCACTGCCGCAGCCGCTAAAAGACCTTAAAAGCACTCCAGAGTTTCAGTTTTCAACCATTATCATACACTCCCTGAAAAGATACTGTCATAGCAGTCCTGGTAGAATTTATATACCTATAATTAAAACATTTTTTGGTCTTTTTAAGACAGGGTCTCCCTGTAGCCCCAGCTGAGCTGGAACTCACTACATAAACCAGGCTGGCCTCGAACTCACACAGATCCGCCTGTCTCTGCCTCCCAAGTGCTGGAATTAAAGGTATGTGCCACCACATCCAGCTGTAATTTGAACATCTGAAATATATTTGGACAGCTGAGCAGGAGGATCAAGAATTCAAGGCCATCCTTAGCCACAAAACAAACAATTTAGAAGCTACAGTGGATGTATTTCATCCCCCTGGCAAAGGATGAAACAGTATGAACATCAGTAAGACTAACTTGCATCTTAACAGACAATAAGCTATGGCCTCGTGGCAATGGTTTCAAACTCTATTTAGGAATTCCACTCACCCACTGTCCTCTGAAGAAGGACCTGCCAGGCTGGAGCCATGGTTTAGTGGGATAACACATCTTTGTATGCATGAGACCCTAGGTTTGATCCCCAGCACCAACAAACAAGACCAAACTGTACAGAACTGTTTGTAGGACTCAAGCACATAAATATCTAAGTGCAGACAGACAAAGAAGGGGGGAGCCCCAGCCACTCAGCCTCCCCTCTCCTTTGCTCTACAGCTTCAGAGGCAGAAAACTGCTTGGAAAATATTGTATTTCCACTGAGTACCATTCGGCAGCTTCAACAGCAATTGATACCATGTCGATTCCTGTTCTGTGCTTTTTTAAAGTAGGGTCTTACTACATAAACCAGGCTAGCCTTGAATTCATGCTTCTTCTGCCCAGTCCCTCAACTGCTGAGATTGCAGGTGTATGCCACCATGCCCGGCTGTCATTTCTATTCCTTACTCCATGTGGGTCTTCATGCATGATGGATGCCTCAAGGTCTCTGTTGTGTCAGACTGTCAGTGTGAGTAAATGTGTCTGAAATTCAATATGAGTGGCCAAGAAATGCTAATTATCAGCCAGTACTCTACTTCTTGTAGAACACTGTTAAAATATTCTCTAATATTGTAGTTTTTGTTTATTTTGTTTTTGAGACAGGGTCTTCCATGTCCCAGGCTGGCCTCCAATTCACCATGTAGCTGAGAATGACCTTGAACTCCTGATCCTCCTGCTTCTACCTCCAAGTATTGATATTACAAGTGTGTACCACCGAGTGCCAGGGATCAGACCCAGGGCTTTGTGAACATGAGGCAAGCATTTTACCAACAGCACCAAATCCATAGCTAATATTATGCAGTGAGTTTATCCAAGTGAGACTAATATCTTAGGTAGAGCATATAATAGTGATTTCTCAATTCAGACATCACCTGACTAAATCTCTACTTTGAAGTCCGCAAGCTCTCAAAGCTAATCAAATCTTACTTCAAAGAGAAAAGAGAAGTTGGTGCCGAAGGCCACAGCTGGCAAGGCTAGGACAACGTACTTAGTTATGAACACCAATGGCCATGAGGGAATGCAAGGTCTAAACCGTACATCATCCGGACCAGCACTCAGAACTTCCTGCAGTGGTGGGAATGCAGGGCATCTGCATTGTCCAGTTCAAGGATCCCCAGCAACTGTGTGACTCTTACATGCCTGAAATGTGAGGATGTGACCATGGAACTGAATTTTAATTTCGATTCATTTCCATCTGAATGGAAGCAGCCACCATGGTGGATAGTGTTGTTCTAAAGCAAAAGGCTTGGTGTGTTTTAGGGGACACAGCTGAATTCATCACTGCAAACCAAAGGATAAATGAGAGAAGCTCTGAGAAAAAGAAGGACTTACCATCTCCCTCCTCTCCATAGGCCAGAAAAGGAGGTATGGTGATGATACGCTTTTCCCCCACACACATGCCCAGCAGCCCTTTATCCATTCCAGGAATCAGCCAGCCAATCCCCACATATGTGTCATAGGTTTTCATGCGATTGTGGCTGAAAACCAAAGAGGAAGGAATAAAGTTCCATACTGCGTGTTCCAAACACAACCCTCCAGAAGGTTTTTGTTACCCAGCCCTCCAATAAACGATGAGCCCAGACTCATCCCAAGCACAAAGAGGAGTGCCTCAAATGTCACAAAGAAACGAAGAACTCCTATCTGTGCTGGCAGTTAACAGCTACCCCACTCATCCAACACACGGCAATGACAAAAAAATCTCAGAGTTCCCTGGTTTTGATCCTAGCCCCCGACTTCTCTACAGTTTCATTTCTTTCTCCCCTTTCCATAGGAAAACCATAAAAATGAACCAAATACCCATGGGCCTTCTCAGAAATATGACCCTTCACTGAACTTGAGATCTCCAAATATGGTTAAACTACATCAAGACTGTTTTTAATTTTTTTTCTAAGATATATTTGGACTCTCACATCATGGACCATAAAACACTGACCAAATATATATGAAGAGGGGTTGGAGATGGCTCAGCAGTTAAGAGCACCTATGCTCTTGCAGAGGACCTGGGTTCAATTCCCAGTACCCACATGGTATCTAACAACTTTCCAGGGGAATCCAATGTCCTCTTCTGACCTCCACAGATATTGCAAAAACAGGTACACTTATACACATGCAAGCAATACACTCATACACATAAAATTTTTTAAAGATATATGAGAGAGAGAGAGAGAGAGAGAGAGAATTTGGCACTGGTTATCAGGAGTCCCTTTTCGGGTTTCCTCATGAGCACAGACAGCAGGCAACGCAGAGGTCATCTCACAGACACTTGTTCACAATGGGACTCACCTGGAATCAAACAGCGTCCCATCCAAGAATGTTCCATTGTAGTGATACCTGACAAAATCGGACACCTGGATAGTCCGAGGGCAGCTGGAGGGCTTGAAGTAAGTGAGAACCTGAACCTGGTCTTCAGAATTCCAGATATCTATCAGAAGTACGTCAAAATGAAGGACTGAGTTTGGAGGGATCACACCAGCTAGAAATTAAACAGAGAAACACTGAGAAAGCCTAGAAAACTTCTGTTACATAGCTATTTTCTCCAAACAGAAACATTCTGTCCAGGAGAGAGAGGGAGGGGCACCAGGTTCAGGAAGCTAATCAAACTTAGAGACCCAGGAAGCTCAGGAAGTTACAAGATTCCCAAGGCTCCTCCCACAGGTATAAGAGCCTTAACAATTGCTCTGGAGACCAGACTGCTCGGAGAAGCGAGAAGCTGCCTCCAAGCTGTGCAGGAGCTCCAGGGATTTAGACTAAGTGGGCTTTGTTGTGATCCAGCTGCCTCTGATTGACTCATCCTCCTTACACATGCTCCTTAAGTTACTCCAATAAACTCATTGGTTCACCAAGCTAGACTTAAGTGGAATTGTTTCTTTGATCTGTCTTCAATGACCTCTGGGCTGATAAATATTTGTTCATATCCTAGCAGGGAAAGTCACGAAACTGCTGCCAGGATGAACAGAAGCCAAAAGTCAAGCCCATCACTGGTGTACAATTCCAAAACGCCCTATTCTTCCTCCATCTTTTCTCCAAATAAAATTAAAGAGAGAAAAAGAGATTCATCGAGTGCATCACTGGATAGACCACTGTGGCACCTTCTGTGTTTATCTCTAAAAGAGATAAACTTACCATGGAAATGTTAGCTGTGCGTTCACGGCCTTTCTTCTCCCCTATTAAAGATGCCTAATTTTCCAGTCAGGTTGACTGAACAGCCTGCATATGTGTTTATAAATACAGAATGAAACTTACAAACTCCTTCACTTCCATAGGCGAGTTTTGGGGGGATCGTCACGAAACGCCTCTCATTTACGCACATCCCGACCAGAGCTTGATCCATGCCCGCAATCAGCTGGCCTTTTCCCACAAACACATTGAAAGTAGAGTCTCTGTCATAGCTGACCCAGAAGGCAGGGAAAGAGAGAAGCATAAACAGTTCTTTACATAGTTTTTTAGATTAACCTGGATGCTGCCAACAAATCTACTTAAAAGTACCTGATAACCTGAGTTTGAGCCCTGGAACCCACAGTGGAATCAGAGAACTGATCCCCAACAGTTATCCTCTGATTTTCACAAGCACACTATGGTGTGGCGTGTGTGTGTGTGTGTGTGTGTGTGTGTGCGCGCGTGCATGCATGTACTATTACCGTATGACAAGTCAGAAGATAAATAATGAAACCATGGCTGTGACTTATGTCCTCATTTTTCAATGTCAAATTCAGAAACAGAGTTTGCCCTCTTAGGAGATGGGGTTAGAAGGATAAGAAGGGTTTGAAGGACATACAAAAGAAGCTCAGGGGGTGGAGAGATGGCTCAGTGGTTAAGAGCATTTGCCATTCTTGCAGGGGACCTGGGTTCCGTTCCCAGCATCCATGTGTCAGCTAACAACCATCCATAACTCCAGTTCCAGGGGGTTACAACGTCCTCTTCTGGCCTCTGCATGCATTCCATACAGATGGTACACATATAAATGCAGGCAAAACACTCATACACATAAAATACAAATACATAATTTTAAAAAATATTTTATTTATTATTTTTATCTTATGTGTATGAGTGTATTGCCTGCATGTAGGCAAGTGCACCCATGTTGTGCAATGCCCGCAGAGGACAGAAGAGGCCATCGGATCCCCTGGAACTGGAGTTACGGACAGTTGTTAGCTGCCATGTGGGTGCTGGGATTCAAACCCGGGTCTTCTGCAAGAACAACCAATGTTCTTAACTGCTGAGCCATCTCTCCAGCCCCAAACAAATAATTTTTTTTTAAAGTTCAGCCAAGTGTAGTAGAGCACACCTTTAATCCCAGCACTCAGGAGTGGACCTCTGTGAGACTGAGGCCAGCCTGGCCTACATACTGAGTTCCATCCAGGCCAACTGGGACTACAGGGAGACCCTGTCTCATAAATTAATTAATTAATTAAGTTAAAAATTTTTAAAAGAATGGGGCTGGAGAGATGGCTCAGTGGTTAAGAACACTGGTTGTTCTTGCAGAAGACCCAGGTTCGAATCCAAGCACCCACATGGCAGCTAACAGCTGTCTGTAACTCCAGTCCCAGGGGATCCAACAGCCTCTTCTGACCTCTGCGGGCATTGCACGACAGAGGTGCACTTACCTACATGCAGGCAATACATACATACACATAAAAATAAAAACAAAAAATAAAAATTTTTTTTAATTCAGAAAGAAGATGAAGGCAAGGACTTTGCCTACAAGCACTTTATAAACTGGCAGAGACCCATTGTCTCAAGTACTGTAGTTAAGAAAATGAATGCACAACTGTGCATGATGACACATGCCTACAATATGAGTAAGTTAAAGACCAGCCTTGGGGTCAGAGAGATGGCTGAGCAGTTGAGAGCACTAGCTGCTCTTGCAGAGGATCCAGGTTTGATACCCAGCACCCACATGGCAGCTAACAGTCACCTCTAACTCCAGTTCCAGGGGATCTAACACCCTCTTCTGACCACCATAGGCATTGCACAACACAGGTGCACTCACATACATGCAGGCAATACACTTATACATATAAAATAAAAATAATAAATAATTTTTTTAAAAAAAAGAGCAGCCTGGGAAGCTTAGTAAGACCCTGTCTCAAAATAATAAGGGAAAGCGGGCTAGGGACATAGCTCAGTGATAGGGTAGTTGCCTAACATTGCAAGGCCCTGGATTTAATCCCCAGTACTACAAAAGAAAAGAAAGGAAGGGAATGAGGGAGGAAGGGAGGGAAGGAGAGGTGGAAGAAGGGAGAAGGGGTGGAGGGAAAGCAAGGAAATGACAGCAAAACAAGAAAAATAGAAAAAAATAAGTGAAAGAAAAATTACCGTAGAGCTTGGTTCACAATAATTAACAGTGGACCCAATTCAGAAGTTCAAGTGTAGGGCCCTGGCTGCTTGGAGTCAGATATACAATAAAATGTTCTATGGTCATCTTATAGATTTCTATCCACTGACTTCAAAGGATATGACTATATGAGTCAAGTACAGAACCAGTGAGACAGCTCAGCAGGTAAAGGTGCTTGCCACCAAGCCTGACAACCTGAGTTCGACCCCCAGAAAGGAGGGAGCCAACTGTCACAAGTTGTTTTATGACCATCCCATACGTGCCACAGTAGGTGCATGTGTGCACACATATACATATAAACACCCATGCTAAATTTTTGTATTACTTTTATTTTGTGTGTATGATTTGCCTGCAAGTATAAGTATGCCATAGGCATGCAATGCCCACAGAAGCCAGAAGAGGGCATCAGATTCCCTGGAACTAGAATTTTAGATAGTTTTTAGCCACCATGTTGGGAACCAAACCCAACATGGGTCCTATGGAAGTACAGCAAGTGCTTTTAACCTCTAAGCCACCTCTCTAGCCCCTAAAAACAGTAAAGTGTAGGCAACAGAGCCATAGTATAAAATGATGCCATTTTCCACTTACATACATAGATGCTTATGAAAAGATCCAAAAGGCAATCAGGTGAACTCATTATCAATGGTAATCTATGGCCAAGTTTCAGGTGGTTGAATTTCTCTTTTAATTCTTAGTATCTAAAATGATTGTGTGCTTATTTGTGTAATGAAAAGTTAATAGTTTCTGGGCATGGTGACACATGTTAGCACTTGGGAGGAAGAGGCAGGTGGATTTCTGTGAGATCAAGGCTAGCCAGGTCTACACAGCAAGTTATAGGCCATCTAGGGCTACAGGGAGACCCTGTCTCAAAAAAAAACAAACAAAAACAAAAGGTTAGCAGCTGCTGGTACTGACTGACTTCTTTAGGATGTACCACCCTTTCTTTTGAAACTTCTTTTTCTCATTTTCTCCTGATGAACAGTTGGAGCAGTTAAGTCCACCGCACACCACCAGAGTCAAGCCTCAACCATTTCAGCACCTCCTCCTGATTTATAACCCATTTAAACTGCCTTCCTTTCTTCAAGGTCCGGGAACAGAAAGCAGCATTTCAAGTTCAGGCCAAGCCAGAGGACAAAAGAGTGTATGCATCAGCGTCTCCCGAAGTCAGCTATACACCTCCACCCTGGGACCCACCACCCCAGGGAACGCCAGCTCTTGAGTTGTGCTTGGCTTGCACTTGGCCATGCCACAAAGCCCTCACCATCCCAGCAGGATTATGATAATCAACCAGAAGGCGAGGCATCAAAGGTTCCTGAGGTATAGGCATGTGTGCACAGTAACAATACACGGGCAGGAAGGGGCTACTATAAACATACATTCTTCCCTTTTTCCTTTTTCTTTTTTTTTTTTTTTTTTTTTTTTTTTTTAAAAGGGTTCCCCTTGGGCCCCACCGGCCC